GTAACTTATCCGCAAAGTACGCCCACACTGTCAATAGGCAATATTATGAAAATTGTGTTAGAAGACTTCCAATTTCAAGTAATTTTCTTTTCGTCTTGTTTTCCCTATTTCAACTAGTCATAGTGATCGATTCAGCTAAGGGACTTTACTCAGCAATAGGCATAGTAGTGAAGTTTACTGTGCGGACTTATTTCTTCTGTAATACTATAATCTTTAAATGATATTTGATTGTGGCTAAGAAAATCTAAATTAGTTTTAGAATAAAATTTTTACTTGCGGGTTTTTATTTTTTATTTTTATTTTTTCAGGGAGCCGCAGTATTTTCTCATCCAAGTTTGATACTTCATGCTTATGATGTTACTACAGGTGCTGTAGTTGACATTGGAGATAAGTTGAGTATTGTTCCTGTCGTTGATGGTAATTACTTTGATTCGTTTTGAGATTTTATTTTATATATCACAAGCTTATCTTGACTGTTTTAAAGGATATATTGTTGAAAATGCTGTTATAACTTTGCCCTATGGTGCTTTGCAAATCGCCAATGCATTAAAAAAAAAACTTTTGGAAGCCAATATGAGTCCCTACAGTTTCAAATCTCCTGTTGAGAGGCTTATACTGCGCTACGTTATGGAACAAGTATTCTCAATTTTATTACTATTATTATTATATAATCATGAATCAAATTTATAATTGTTCTGCGGAAAATTTTTGTTAGATTTGATATGTATTAAAAAAAAATCATTTTCTGGCAAAAATTTTTAATAAATTTTTAAGTGAATTGTGTTGGAATAACTGTATTTTTGCTGATAGTTATAAATTATTTGTGCTTAGTGTTGACATTATGGGTTTATGTTAATAATAGCAATGGCAGCAATTATAATAATTTTGTAATTATAATCATAACAATAGTAATAGCAACGTATTAGTTATTGGTATTACTGTTATTATAATATCATTGATATAATAATAATAATAATAATAATAATAATAATAATAATGAAAAATAATAATAATAATAATAATAATAATAATAATAATATTAATAATAATAATAATAATAATAATAATAATAATAACAATTGTAATGATAATAATAGCAATTAATAACAATAATGACAAGGTGACTTTATGAAACTAAGATTGCAAGTCGTCTTTGTCTTTTCTTCCGTTTTTATCTGTCTATTTTAACTTAATATTATGTGGTTCTAGTCCTGCTACGTTTCTGTTGATTTTGAACAAGAAAGAAAACGCTATACTGATAATGCAGAGGATGTTGACTTGACTGTTTCGCTTGACGAATTTCAACTTCTGCCTGAAATGGCCAGCACATTCAAGGTTTGTTTTACCCTTCTGACACTCAAAATAAGTTTCTTGGTATACTGCGTAATAAGCCTGATTCTCTTACCTTTTATTTGACAGCCGTTTCTTTTCCTTCGTGAGCTTTGCCTTTTTTTTTTTCACTTGAAAAAAAGAAAGCCGTCTGAAGCCGATTTTGTATTGAACGTCTATTTTTAACAGGTCGACTCAGCGAGATTTACAGCTCCAGAAGGCCTTTTCAAGCCGAAAAGGTGGGATTTGGATAGTAAAGGTTTACATGAGTTAGTTAATGAAGCTATTCAACTGTCTCCCATCGACAACAGGAAGACTCTCTTCAGGTATGCTACTTTTTGTTAGATTTTGTGAAGGTTTAGAAATGGCAGATGCATAATTGCTTGATATGAGTAAAAATTGCTGCATCTGGTAAAATTTAATAAGTATTAATTTTTTTTGTTACAGAAACATCTATTTGGCTGGTGGAGCATCATTGTTACCAGGGCTCGCGGAAAGGTTGGAAGCAGAAATTAGTACGCTGGTTTCTCCTGCGATTGACACTCAGGTTCCTTGCCATTTTTACAGTCGTGTACGCTGATGAGTGCATAAGAATTTACACATATATTGTTTGTATCAGTTTCTAGTTAACCCTTATTAGAACCAAAGAATACTTTTTAGTTGTAGTACTTAAAGTGTAAAAATTAAAATAGTAAGCTGCAATTTTAAAATATTCTAGGTCCATGTTTCCCCTTGGCGGTACCACGCTGCTTATTTAGGAGCCCAGGAATTAGCTTCTAGTGTACAGTTCGAAGATAGGTGTATTACTAAAGAGAAGCTTCCGTCTTTTCTTGACAGTTTACAAAATGCTACTTTCTGATATTGTTAAAAATGTAATTTAAAACTTGTTTAACTAGCAAAGAATTAATGTCTGATATGTGCTTTCTTGCCGTATTTGATATTAGCTGTCACTGATTCTGTTCAAATACCATATCGCTAATGTTATTGTGATATTTTTATTTTTTATAATTTTCTTTCATTTCTCTGAGATTGACCAGTATCATCTTGCTTTGCAGTTGTAATTGTTTTTAAACATTTTTTTTTAGCGAATGTTACAGGAAATGAACAGTTGATTATGAAGAAAATGAAATTAAACTGCTAAAAATGTGATTTAGGAGAAAATACGATGGTAATTATACTGTAACTGTGGTGCGAGAATAAATTTTTATTTTTGTAAAGTTTTTTGAATATTTTGTGCTGGGAAAGAAATCTCAATCTTTTTGTTGTCAATCACTCATCGCTGTTGGATTGAGAAAGCCGTAGTCCGACCAATGAGATGTGCCTTTATGATGAACAACAAAAATTTAGATTGAGGTTTTTTGAAAAAGAAGATACAGATAGTAGTTCGGAAGAAGTGTCTATGAAACTATAAATCTTTGTATAGAGACGATAAGATCAGTGTTTTCATGGAAATTTTGACATCCAATTTTCTTAACATCATATCAAGGATTATGGACTTTTTTGTTTTGCCCATGTTCTCAATTTGCCAATAAGATAATTTAGAAAAATTTTGTAGCTAAAATTATGACAATGTCAAATACGCAGAACCTGCGTTGGGATTTCAAACTACTGTTCAGTACACTAAAATTTCACTACAAGATTGATGACTATTTCGGCAGTGTATATTGCCTAGCAAATTGAAGAATGTCGTATACTTACAGGGGGATAATTAAAAACATTTCCCTCCTTAAACTGTAAAACAGAATCCAAAATATTTTCCCTATGTTAGAAAAAGTTATGTAAATTTAAAATGATAAAATGCCCAATTTCCTTTTACTAAACTTTCCTTCAACACCTGTTCCTTCTACGGTTTTCGACTTTTTATTTACTCTCCTCCCTTGGTACTTCAGTTTTTGGTTGTAAATATATTCTGCACTTCAAAGTAATCTGCGTTAGAACACCATAACATGATAACTGTTGAGGTTTTTGGATATTCTCACGAAACAGCAAAAAAAAATTACTGATCATTAGTAGGTACATTACCAACTGTAATCTTTCAAACAGTTCTCTCATTTTTTTAACCCATATTTTGACACATTCATTGTCCCGTTTACTTTGTCACAGTGAAAGCAAATAAAAAAATTCATATCAAAGTGGAAAAATTGTTTTTCTAATGAAACGATTATAATTAATTTAAATAATTTTTGTTACCGTTTTGTAATCTAAAAAATTTTTGAATCATATAAGTTTTTTTTGGCACGAGAAATTCTTATCGACGGACTTTTAAACCTCATTTACTCGGTACCAGTGGTTCCATATCACAAAAAAAAAAGTATGACATGAGTGAATCAGCTGTGTACATATCGATGACTAATTGAATACAACTGATTTGGCGTGTTAAGGAAGTATATGCAGAAGAATCACTGTAAAACTATTGCGTAACGAGACGGTTCAGTCTCTTTAATCATTTTGATATTTCAGCATTGGACAGGAAGTTTCCTCGGTTACAGATACCGCACTAATGACAATGTAATAATGCCTATTCATCAAAATTTTGAAGACTACAGAAGAGCAAATTACAATGACCTTTATAAAGAATAACTTTTCTCTTTAAAATAGCGTCTAAAAAGAGACATACAACAACAAAAAGAATCAAAAAGACTAGTAAAAGAATTCAAAGCTCTGTGAAAATTCTAAGTATTCCTTTATGATGACAATTGATATCAATACTCCAGTATACCAATATGGTAGAGATTCTGCTATAAATCCAGGGAAAAAGAAAAGTTGCCAACGGAAAGAGGAAATTTGCTTTCATAACGGCCAGTAAAATAAATCATCTTTTTTCTTTCCGAATTACAACAATAAAAACAAAGCCCAATTTTACTATTTTTGGCAATAACATGAGCTATAAATTTGTAATATGAAACAAAAACGAACATTCTTTTCAAACAGTTATTAGGCAAACAAATTACTTTGCTAAATAACAGTTCACCAGTTTCAGTACATTCTCGCTATCAGCTTTTTGACTCTTTCAAAAAGCAGGGAAAATTTTAAGAAGGAGAACACATTAACCGCTTCAGCGAATTCCTATCAAATGTTAACAAATGATACAGATAAAAAATATTTGAATCAACCTATAAAATCGTCATTGCAAGGTAACTAATCTATAATTTTATAGGCACTGTATAAAGTACAATAAAATAGTCTCATCGAATGCTATCAGAAATCCGTCCAACAATTGGAACTGAGAATTTTCGCTAGAATCTTTGTTAACAAAATTAAGTTTTTATTTGTTGAAAAAAAAATCACTGAACTTAAATCGGAATCAAATGTCAGACATCACTGTTGAGCAACATAGAATTAACTTTTTTTCCGTCAGTTTTATCAATTATAAAAAATCTGTAAAACAATAGTTGCTTCAACTAAAAGCTTTGGTAATATAAATTGTAATTGTTTTTTGAACAAATTTCTCACAAGAAAAAAAAAGAACAAAAATTTAAAATTATTTTGATAGGCGCAAAAAAAAGTGATGCAACAGGTGGGTATTTGGTCTGTAACACTGATTAACATTTCTATTGAATTAATCTGTCACTTTCTTGTTCGTTTAATTTTCTCTCTTTTTTTTAACTTAACCTTATTTCTATTCTACCAATTAGCATCCTTTGAATTTTGTAAAA